CTCTTCCGCTCCCGCTCCCAGTCCTTGTCCCGCTCTTTGGTGCCTCTGTCTTTGTCCCTGTCGCGCTCTTTGGCCCTGGCTTTGGCTTTTTCTCTGTCCCCCTCCCGATGCTTTTCTCTCTCCGGATCTTTGTGCCTGTCTCTGTCACTGTCCTTGGTTTTCTCCTTGTCCCTCTCTTTTTCTCTTGGCTTGCTTTCTTCTCTCGGCTCTTCCTTCTGTTTTTGATCACTGCTTGTATTTCTCTCTTTTATTTCAGAGTTTTTTCTATCCTGAAAAAAGAACACATATCACTTGTAAATGTCTTCACTTGGACTACAAAGAAATTTCCATTTCATTTTCAAAGACATACAGTTTGCAATGCTTACCTCCTTATCTTTATGAACTCTGGACCCTTCTTCTCTCGCATTCTTATTATCCAACTCTTGGGGCCTGGACGTCAGCGAGGCTCTCCCTTTCACGTCCGCCTTCTCTCCAGCCAGCACTCTCTTCACCGCGTCATCACTGGAGAGCTTGAACCCACAAGGGGAAACGAGAGGCAGGGGAGGCGAGGTGAGCACGGGGAGTGCGCTAAGCAGACCGTCTAGCAGTGAGACGTGAAGGGCAAGATCGTAAGTGAGGAGGATATTGCGACTGCACATAAGGCAGCCCTTGCGGACTGTGACTCCCAGCACTTCGGTGATTAACAGCACGCCCACCCATGCTGAACGGATCGCGGCTCGGTCCTACCCATGCTGCCGAGTGTGGGGGCGTGTGCTGCTCAGAGACGGCAGAACTGGCCACGCGGCACTAGGCCACCCGCACTTCTAACAGGATCACAGGATCCCGGCTCAACGGGCCTGAAGACAGGGTCTAACCACTTCACTCCCATCACAATGCCCAGAAACCAGTGTGGCAGGGTGTAAGAGATTGGATCCCTACCCACTGCCGCGAGGAAAGCGAAATGGGGCAGCCACTGTGGAAGACAGCATGGAAGGCCCTCGAAAAATTAAATAGTACTACCACATGACCCACCGATTCCACCTCCCAGCACAGACCCAACACAACGGAAAACAGGGACTTGAAGGCACATATTCCCACAGTCATGTTCGTAACAGCATCATTCACAATAGCTAAATGTGGAAGCAACCCCTGTGCCCATTCACAGATGAATGAACAAAATACAGTACATACACATGCATACATGCACACACACACACACCAGGGAATATTACTCTGCCCTGAAAAAGAGGGGAAAGTCTGGAGCCAGCAGGTCATGTGGTGGTGAAGGTGCAAGATTCCTACATGGCTGACCACAGTTTGAGTCCCAGACCTGGTGGCTTGAAAACCACATTGGGCTCATGTATGCACTTGCCCAAAATTCCGAGAGGAGAATGGAGAAGAGACTGCAGCGTGGCCACCCCTCAGGAGAATGATTTCTCACTTTCCCTCTCTCTGTCTCTGTCTCTCTCTCCAGCAAGCATGAACATTCTATGGGAAAAAAAAATCTTAAAAAGAAAAAAAAAAACAGGGAATTCTGAGATGTGCTATAACACGGACAAACCTCACACACACAAGTACGCTCACTCTCACACGCACAAGTATGCTCACTCTCACGCGCACAAGTACGCTCACTCTCGCGCACAAGTACGCTCACTCTCACGCGCACAAGTACGCTCACTCTCACGCACAAGTACGCTCACTCTCGCGCACAAGTACGCTCACTCTCACGCGCACAAGTACGCTCACTCTCGCGCACAAGTACGCTCACTCTCGCGCACAAGTACGCTCACTCTCACGCGCACAAGTACGCTCACTCTCACGCACAAGTACGCTCACTCTCATGCGCACAAGTACGCTCACTCTCACGCACAAGCATGCACTGAGCTACACGGGCCGAGGAAACAACATGGCCTGGAGACAGACAAGCACAACCAAGTGTGGACAGCCTTGGAACCGACAGGAGCAGACAGGTGCACGTCGGTCAGCCACGCTGCTGCCGGCCAGGTGGCAGGAGGGTGGCCGCCAGCACAGAGACAGCAGTGTGCTCTAAGGCCAGGGGCAAGCTGCAGAGTGAGACAGTGCAGAACCAGAGGCATGTGGCAATGGGAATGAAGGCATGTGTGTGGGGATGGGAGAGAACCTGCAGGGACAGAAGGAGCTGCAGGAGTCTCTGGGGCCTTGGGAGCTACACCATAGGCCTGGCCGCATCCCAAGGCAACCAGAAGCCAGCCAGAGACTCCGCAGGCAAGTCAGAACTACCTTTCAGAGGATGAGAAACAGAATGGATGCAGGAGCACGGAGCTCAGGGCCGAGGCCTCACACTGGTAAAGCCAACCAGGCAGGGCTGGCCCAGGCAAGGCTGTCCCGAGGCCTCTAGGAGATGGCCTGATAACACTGTGCATCCCTGCCCGTCTGCTGCAGTGTGGGCTGAAACCCGCCTGCTCCCAGCTCGGTCACAGCTAAGCCGTCAGTCCACCGGGAGCTGGAGAGTTGTATTACTTATACTCTGGATAAAGGCCCAACTCCTCCCCTGTGTGGGGCTGCTCAGCTTGTACAAGAAAGGAAGGGCCTGGTGGTGACCTCCTCCAGAAGCATCCGGGCAGACATGGCCCGGGCTGGGCCTAACCAGAGGCCTAAGGCCAGCACTCCAGGCCCCAGCCCACACTGAGAAGCTCAGGAAGGAGTAAGTCCACTCCTCGTCCAACCGGAATGGGTTCCAATGATGGTGGTGCAGCTGGCACAGCAGCCATGGCACCGGGGGGACGGGCACCAGAGGCCAGGAAGGCAGAAGAGTCACGGACCTCCATGGGCCCTGAGAAGGAGAAGGCAGTCCTGTTGCCCCAGGCCCTGGCTGGAGGAGGACCAAGAGGAGAGGAGCAAGGCCTGCGCAGCCCAGCATGTGGACTCGGCCACCAGCCCAGGGCGAAAGGCCACGGAGTCCCCAGTCGTCCAGTGAAAAAGGTCTTTGGAACCTGTCGCACCACCCACTTACTGTACTGCACAGTTGAAATGATCCCTCCTGGAACTCGGCAGCTCCGGGATTCAAACACAGCCCTCACCAGACACACAGAGACCTTGCTGACACGCGACCGCCTCACCTAGGTCCCCAGGGCTCGGGAGGCGGAGCTGCAGGTTACCTTGTGGAGGCAGCACTTCCCCAGAGTCTGGAGCAGCTCGTTAGTTCTCTCGGGCTCGTGCCCGGCCACGATGCGGGCTGGTTTTGCCAACAGTGGCTCTCCCGACACCATGACGATCACATCGATGGCCTTCTGCAGGAAGCTAATTTTTGCATCTTTATCCTGAAATGTTTCCATTTCAAATACAAGTTAAAATCTCAGAGTTAGTGTTCCTTTCAAAATGTGTGACAGGCATGGGATAGTCCCTGTCTCTCTAGAGATCTAACTCTGGGTGCGTGACCCTTAGAGGTACTGAGCTCCTATGATAAAGTGTTCACTTAGAGCTTGCACTTTGGTTGATGGGGAGCATTACCTTGAGATTATAATCCTGTTTTTCAGCAAGCAAACTGGCATGGCGTGCAGTAGCCACAAATGAGAAAGGAGATGGGCATCACTTCTCATACCTGGATTCACTCCCACACAGTTGACCACGGTTCGAGTCCTGGACCCAGCGGCTTAAACTCACACTGGGTACATATGCGTGTGTGCCCAAAATCCCAAGGAGAGAATGGAGGAGAAGAGATTATGGCATGCTCATCCACCCAGGGGATGATTTCTAACCTTCTGTCTCTCTGTCTCTCTCTGTATTCTCCAGTGAGCATACGCACCCTATAGCAAAAAACTTTCTTAAATAAAAAGACCTTCAGGAGACGCTATTGCTGCTGAGAATCAGTCATTTCAGGGAAAAAAGAGAAATGAAGATTTTCTACTGATAATTCAGCCTCCAGCCCCCAAACTCGAGTGGAGAGGCAAGCGGCAGGCCTTCAGAAGAAGACTCCATTGATGCTGAGAACTAGTCATTTTTATTTTTTACTTTTTTTTTTAATAAATTTTTTTGGTTCTTTTTTCTGTTTTTTCCACTCCTTTTCCTCTCTCTCTTTTTTTTTTCTTCTCTCTCTCTTTTTTTATTCTTTTTCTTTCATCTCATCACTCTGCTCCTCAGTCTCCATTCACTGTGATTCTAGACAGATCTAAGGGAACCATAACCAAACATCCAAACACTATCAGGGTTAACATCTTCCTCAATACCCACTGAATCTGCTGCACAAAGGGATCAAAATGAAACAACAAAGAGATTCCAGATCACCTCCTTCTGCACGCTCCTGAATGCTCAGACTGGACTTTAAGAATTAGGAAGAAACACACCATCCATCACATGACTAGAAATCACCACAGGGTCACAGGAAATATGGGAAAGCAAGAAAATACCTCTCCTCCAAGGGAAAAGAATAACTCCTCTTCATCCACAGACAGTTCAATGGAAATTAGATTATTCAGGGACCAGCAGTTAGCGTAATGGCTATGTCGCTGGACTCCCAGGTAGTAAATCGTGGTTCGCGTCCCGGGCCGGGCGCGTGTGCGTGCATGCCCAAGATCCCAAGAGGAGAAAGGAGGAGAAGGGATTGCGGCGTGACCATCCCCCCTGGGGGGTGATTTCTTGCTTTCTATCTCTATGTCTCTCTTTGTCTGGCGAGTGCACATGCCCTATAGCAAAAACCTCTCCAAAAATAAAAAAAGAATTTAGATTATTCATAATGATGAAGCTAACAGAGATGGGAGAGAAGAGAGACAATGAACTGTATAAGAGAAAGGAAAAAGGAGCTGACGAATTCCAGGAGGTGAGGAAATTCTTGCAAGATCTAAAAGAAGAAATACACACTATAAAAAAGACTCAAATGGATCTGTTAGGCACAAAGGCTATAAAACAGGAAGTCAAAATCTCCCTTGAAAGTATTAAAAGCAGACTAGATCATA